CACACAACTAGAGCTTTCTTTTGGTGGTATTTAATCACCGCTGGGGTTTTTATTTTTTGAAAATTTGGAAAAAAAAAAAGTTTTTTCTTTGTATCTTTTATAAAAGTTTGCAAATAAATAATTATTCTTCATAAATTTAGGCCAAAATGTATTCTACTACATGTCTTTGGTGAAAATAACCCAAATTAGATGTATTATTTAGTTTGTAGGAAAGTTATAGAGTTCACAAACTATGGTATAGATCTGAATATTGATCAATCCTGAAGTACTGACGGCCAATCTAATTTCTTGAGGGCCAGGAATGTCAGATCAGTACAGATATCCTCCAAATGTCCCCTTTTTGCAAAGTAGACAGTCCGAAGTATTTTATAAGAGGCATGGCGAGTTTTTTGACGTTAAAATTTTTTGTCATATTTTTTCAGAAAATGAAACAATTTAAAAATTATTTTCACTATTTTTTTTTTTACATACTGTCATCAGTGCAGTACAGCGTCATCATATAACTGGCATGGCGGTGATCAGGGGCACTGACTGGTGACAGTATGAAAAAAATTTTTTTTTTTATTACTTTTTTTTTTCTTAAAGATTTTTTTTCATATTTCACTATGACCAAAGTAGTACAATGTTACCATAGTAACATTGTACTACTTTGGGGAAGTGATCACTGCTTTTTTTTTTTTTTTTTTTTACACAATTTGCTTATAGCAAAGAATTACTTTGCTATAAGCAAGCATTTACCTGAATGACATCGATTCATTCAGGGTTTTTTTTTTTTTTTTTTTTGCTTAGCTGTGATTTGGCCATGGCTAATCACATGACACAGCTGGGCTGTGGTTGGCCCAGCTTGTGCATGTGATCGCTGTGACCATTCACATCTAGGCACACTAGTATTCAATGGATGGCATGAATGAAGCCATCCTTTGTATACAACTGTCATGTGACCTGCTCTGATTGGTCACAGCAGGTCACATGTTGTCGGCAACGGGGCCGGTACTCAGATCTGTCATCGGCCGTGTCCGAGGTACATGGCCGGTGACAGATCGCGGCTCTGCGGGCGTGCAAACTGCGCATGTCCGAAAGGACGCCATATGGCGTCCACCCGAAACGGCAAGGTGCTCGCCCAGCCACCATCTGGCCATAGGCCAGGTGGGAAAAGGTTAAGGCTAGTTATATGTAAGCAGGAATTCCACTTTAAAGCCTAAGTTTATTCAAAATCTAAAAAAGTACAAGAGACTTTACTTTAAAATAAAGCTTTGCTTGTTTTTAAAAAAAAAAAAAAAAAAAGACATAGGTATAACTTTGTTATCATATGCCTAGTTAGTACATAAGATCAGAAAATCAGAAGAAAAGTACCACTTTTGAAGTGATCATATGATAATCTGATCTTTAGTACACAATGTTCGAGAGCCGATCATGACAGTTCATGCAAGATTATCTGAAAGGACAAACATGAACATTTTTCTCATACAATACCAGAATTATTATTTTTTTTTTAAATCGGTACAGTATTCATCTGAAAAAAAATCAGAAGACCAAGACCATGCATGTTCAGAAATGAAAGAATACAATGCAATACATTACATCACTCCTGAAGTTGTACAAGAATTTTCATAAGTTTAGTAACCTCTTCATTTTCTATATGAAACTAGCATGCCAAAAAAAAAAAAAAAAAAAAAGACCATTCTGTACAATCTGTACAAGGGAATTTACATACAATTAATACAAAGCCACCCTTGTGCTGCTGGCTGCGGTTTTATTTGAAATACTCTGTCCTCTGATTTCCCTTATTTCTGCAGCTGTAATCTTTTGGTACTGCAGAGGTTAATACCATTCAAGGGACTGTTACATTAAAATAAATGTGTTGCACCGTTCAAAATATTAGTTCACTAAAGTGTGTAAATACAGCCATAAAGTGTACAAATAATTCATAACAGTAATAAAGTCCTCAATAACTCAGTGGTGACAAAAATAGATATAAATAAAATTTATGAAATCCAACAACCAAGATGGTGTGATGGAATCGTGCTCAATCCATGCATCAAATGATAACCAAAAGTGATATGTGCTTGTAATCTTCACCACTGTGCATGCAGTTCAAAAAAATACAAGCCGACCCACCAGAAGCTGAGACCTCTAAATCAAGGTCTGACGGAGCTTTATGAAAAAAACCCAATCACGGATGGATGGATGGATCAGCATTTGGAGCTCCAATGGCAATCAGTCTTTGGTAAGATTAGTATGGACCCCACTCGTAACACCGCCATCAGGTGCCGGTTTAAATTATGGAGGTAGATCAGTCAGCAGACCCACATAAGAAAAAGGAAGAGGGGTCGCTCATGGTGCAGTTTTTATAAAAATGTTTATTTAAAACAGACTGTTACTCACAAGCGATTTAAATCAAGAAGCATATCGGATACAAAAGCGCCCAGCGCCCCGGCGGCGTAATGACATCAACGCTAACCCGGCGCGTTACGTGCCAAAGGACGACGTCACTGGGGGCAACAGAAATAGTGGTGAAGCTCAGCAAAGAGGACTATATAGGTTAATAATATGGTCCACCAGAGGGCGCTCAACCACACCAATATACTGGATGTAAATGACGGCCCTCACACGGCCACCATACTCTATAGGACCATTACTTATGGCTGCCAGTTTTCAAAGGATCATAGAAGCGGACAAACAAATAAATAAACAAACATACCTCCACTTTAGAGAACTAATATTTTGAACAGCACAACACATTTAATTTAATTTGTTTGTTTATTTTGGTGAGAAGACACAGTGAGTACAGCTGTTTATTTTGTTTAATTGTTTGATGAACTTTTCTTACATACATAGCACAGGGTAGTAATTTTTTCTATTTGAGGGACTATGCCCCCATCCTCCATTCATAGAAGCTGTACTATAGCTTCCATTAATGAAAAGCGCTCTAGGAATGAAAGATGGGCAGATGGATGAAAAGTACACCTCTCCCATTCATAGATAATTTTTCATTAATCCTCCATGAGCTACTAAACCTTTGCCTTTCCCTCTCACTTCAATTTGTTTGGAACAAGCAGTGCATACTAGCTGCGGTCACGTGCACTGCTCTATGCACACTACAAATCTCATAGTCTCTAGTCCATCTCAGGAGCAAGCAAGATGGCTATGTCTCTATTTAAAGTGGTTCTAAAGCCTAAACATTTTGACCTTAATGCATTTCCTGTTTAGGTAGTAATATCTCCTCTATATTCATTCGATATTGCCCTTATACTCACTCACTCGAGCCTTGTGCCCATCTATAGCAGTTCTCCCTGCTCTCAAAGACTTTGCTGTCAGTCAAATCCTGTGATGAAGATGCAGCATGGTGCCGAGCCGCTCTGTCTGTGTCTATGGATGCATGCAATGTGATTCGGGGGACCCTAGAAGAGGGGATCAGGGCAGCTCTGTGCACTTCTGTTGCACAGAGCAGGTAAGTATAACATGTTTATTATTTTAAAAAAAAACATTAAGGGACACAGAATGATGGGTTACGATGTTGCTGTTAAGAGATTGGCCCAGTTAAAACCCCAATCACTTCCAGCCTGCCACAGTATTTTTCTGCTCCCTGTATCCAGGTTTTTTTGTTCCTGAATACCTTTAAGAGTCAGGTTTCTGCTTTGGCTGGTTTCACACTCAAGCAGTTGTGGGAGTTATGCCACTGACGCCATAGGATCTAAATATAGTTTATTCAATCCTTCATATAAATCTCTTTTCGAGAACAGTCAGGAAATTCCTCTTCTGACTCTCTTTGGTGCTACATAGAGATAAGGTGGTATTTTAGCCTTGGTTATTTTTTCCTGCTGAAATTTGTGTCAGTGTTTGATATGAATGAGTAATGCTTCATTATTTGGATGTGGACCAGGATGTTAGAATTTTTGGCACCTTACCTGAGTTATACCGCCTCTATTTGGAAAATGGATTCCTTGTTCATAGGTTGTCCTAGAAATCAGTAGGTGGTCTCGTACAACAATTCTAAATAGATTTGTGTCAGACAGTGGTTCATGCCTATGCCCTCTTGGGCTGGGAACCTCAGTTTCCCATTACTGGTCATTCTACCTAGGCTCTAAGTACTCCCTGGGCTCTTCATCATTGTTCCTCTGTTTCTCAGGTTTGCAAGGCAACTGTTTGGTCATGCTTTTATCAAATTTTACAAAGTTGACATTGCTGCCTCTGCTAGTTTTGGCAGTAAGGTTTTGCAGACAGCAGTTTGAGTTTTGCTGTGGTGTTCTTTAATATGTATGTATGTTAAACTATGAGCCCACGCACTTTGCTTATGGCGCTGCTTTGGGACATGCCCTTGGTCAAAATATAAAGAGTAGATTGCATCGTTCAATGAACAGAAGAGAAAATGGGATTTTTGTAGTCACTGTAAAATTATTTTCTCTCTCGTTCGAATTCTGTACAACCAGCCTGTTGCTATAGCTGGCAACACTGACCATTGTAACACAGTAGCAATGCAGGAGTGATTCCCCCATCCAGAAGAAATGTGTGGATGAGGGAATCAGCACATTTTCTTTTTTGTTCAACCCGCTGGTTGAATTAAATAAAAAAGTATAATAGCTTGCAGAAGTGTTTGCTTAGCTTCTTCAGAAGTGGCCCCTTCATCTAAATTATCCAGGGAAGAAACTGGTTTGTCCTGTGCTTCTTAGGTTTTCAACAAGGTGCTGGTCCCAGTTCTTGCTCTGCTTTCCTCACAGACCACCCACCCTGTGGGTTATATGGACAACCACCTTCTGTTCCTAACATGCTGTTATCAAGTACTATACAAATACTGATCTTTTAGCATTCTCTTAAACATTTACATTATTAACTTTTTTTTTTTTTATAGAATCAAACATCTATTACTTGGTTCTATATTGGGTACAGAATTCCTGGTGTCAGTGGAGACCTGTTATATCATCTTACAGTGTGCATAATGGCTACTAAAAATGTGACATGACTGTAAACAAGATTTTTTTTTTTTTGTTTTCATTACTTAGGTCAGAAGAATCATTTAAGCAGTATTTCAGTGAGATGCCCTGGTTGGCAGTTCCATACAGTGACGAAGCACGACGGTCACGGTTAAACCGATTATATGGAATACAAGGTGAGATATTCCATTACTTATGTTATGGAATAACATAATTTAGTTTATGGAATAAAAATACCTCACATATAGTCACACACAGGTTACACTGGAGATTAGATTGTGCATATAATTATAATAATTCTCTATATTTTTTTAATTCATCAGCAATGAATTACTAGTAGCCAAGATGGTAAATTTGTGTTATTACTGAGGATGGATTTTTACGGACTACAGAATCTTTATACGAGAGATTATCTTTACCATTAATATTTCTTTAGAAATGTATGTATCGACTATTAGTATTACTATTTTTGTTGCCTTATGAATAGGTATTTTTATAGTTATTTATTTTATATTTCCACTATATAGCAGTGATATATTACGTAGTGCATTAGAGAGTACATAGATTAATTCACATCAGTCTCTAGGTTTGAAGCAGCTCTACCACACTCCTCTTACTGTATTCTTTGTGCATATGGCAACAAGATTACATTTTGGAATCCATACAAAAATCACAATATCAGGATCTGTATATAGTGTATGTTTATTTAGAGCGTGTATTTTTGACATTACTGATGTCATTTCCTGATTTGAAGCATCTGCTCTGTAGATTTGCCTTCTGATCGAACAATGGCTGTGTAGTTTATTTACTTACTAGTTCCAGTAAACATTACCATATTGTGCAGTGCTTTATAATGGACATTGATATCAGTGCCTTCCCTTTAAGGAGTTTATTATCTATCCTCTTTAACATATTCACTCATGTTTACATACAATGAACGGCATGTCAAAGCCAGTTAACCTACCAGTATGTATTTTGGATTGTGAGAGAAAGCATATGTGAACACAAAGCATAAAGTTGCCACAGTCAGTATGCAGTGGAACCAAGAATTCCAGGGCTGCAAGGCAAGAATTGTGACCACTTAAAGTATATGTGAACCCTCACATTGTAAAACATTTCATTTTACATATAAATGAAAGGAAACGCACCTAGGTTTTAGAGGAGGAAAACAAGAAAAAAAAAATATTCTAAACCAATGGACTGCAGACATAGTACAGGAAATGACTAGAGACTGCAGACATAGTACAGGAGATGACCAGAGACTGCAGACATAGTACAGGAGATGACCAGAGACTTTGGACATGGTACAGAGACTTTGACACATGGTACAGGAGATGACCAGAGACTTTGCGGACATGGTACAGGAGATGACCAGAGACTGCGGACATACTACAGGAGATGACCAGGAGACATGACAGCAGATGACCAGAGACTGCGGACATAGTACAGGAGATACAGGAGATGAGTACAGGAGATGACCAGAGACTGCGGACATAGTACAGGAGATGACCAGAGACTGCGGACACAGTACAGGAGATAACCAGAGACTGCGGACAGGAGACCAGAGACTGCGGACTACAGGAGATGACTGCGGGACATACTACAGGAGATGACCAGAGACTGCGGACATACTACAGGAGATGACCAGAGACTGCGGACACAGTACAGGAGATGACCAGAGACTGACGAGACGGACATACTACAGGAGATGACCAGAGACTGCGGACATACTACAGGAGATGACCAGAGACTGCGGACATACTACAGGAGATGACCAGAGACTGCGGACATAGTACAGGAGAGACTGACCATAGAGACTGCGGACATAGTACAGGAGATGACCAGAGACTGCTGACATAGTACAGGAGATGACCAGAGACTGCGACTGCGGACATAGTACAGGACATGACCAGAGCTACAGACATGACCAGAGACTGCGGACATACTACAGGACATGACCAGAGACTGCGGACATAGTACAGGACCATGACCAGAGACTGCGGACATAGTACAGAGACTGCGGACATACATGACCAGAGACTGCGGACATACTACAGGACATGACCAGACACTACAGCAGATGACCAGAGCGGACAGCAGATGCAGACCCTTTGGGGAGTGGAAAGAGGGGGGAACGGGTACCCGAATTTGAAAGGTACCCGCTCCCTCTTCTGCGGAGTTGTCCTCCCTCCCAGTCTTCTGGGACACATGACAGGTCCCAGGAGACTGCCGGACCATTTACAAAGCGCATCGCTTCTCGCGCATGCGCAGTGGACACCCGGCTTTTTAAGCCACAAGCTGTCATAGCCGAGTGCCCACACTAAAGATGCCGGCACCAGGGAGAGAAGGCAGTGAGGACACCGCTGGATCAAGGAACAGGTAGGACCGAAGAGCAGGTTCTGCTGCACAGAAGAGCCGAGCGGCCAGCCCGGCATTCTAACATGGCGGCGGCAGGAATACCGGGCAGGCCACTCCATATTCACTCCATAAGACGCACAGACATTTCCCCCCATTTTATGGGGAGAAGAAAGTGTGTCTTATGGAGCGAAAAATACGGTAAGTAAACCATACCCAAATGATGTAACAGAAAAAAACGTTCAGCGTCTCAAAACACAAATTAAGCAACGTGAAAATTTGTACTGCATCGAAAGTAACTCACCATCAATAATAAAATATTGCATCCAGACGCCCCCAATGCATTTTGTGCGAATGCATGCCTTCAGGGGACACGTTGCGGCTGAGCTATATGTTGACATCACACCTCCACTTCCATGTTTGGAGCTGGCGGCCATCTCTGTAAGTGCACTATGATATACTGTATGTCATGATGATCATGTTTGCTGGCATCTGGATGCAATATTTTATTATTTGATGTGAAGATTCTACATTTTAAATAAATTACTACACTATATGTGGTCCCTTGTGGCTCCATGCAGTGAGTGCTTCTTTTCTAAACAGCATCAAGTAGACTAGAGCATCTGACTGTCTCCAGTGGTAAGAGGTGGTACTACCCATTAATCCCAATGTGATGGTTGCGCTGGATGACCATGTGTGAGGGGCTTTATTGATACAAACGTGCATGTTCCTGCTTTCCTTTGGCAGTTTAGGAGAGTGATTGAAGTTGGCCATAGATGGATTGAAATTTAGCTGGTTCAGTAGGGAATAGACAAATTTTAGTCCATCTGTGGCCGTTCCTGTTCACGAGAAGTCGATCTAATGATTCACTTTTCACGAGCAGGCTTGTTCGATCCATGCTGCAACACTGATCAGTATATTCTGACAGTGGAAAGACCCTGCTTTCAGAATACAATAACACATGAGGGATGATTTCTTTATCCACCTTGGTTTTGTAGATGGGGGAATCCATTCAGTTTTTCCAGTCAGACCACTGGCTGATCAAAAGAAATGTATCAGTATATGGCCAGCCTGGCATGTCCCTCTGGTTGTGAAATTCTAGATTGAAGTACTGCTCAGTGCCTGTGCTGTTTGGAATTGGTAAGAGCTTTTTGAGAGGCATTTTCATGTCTATTTGGCACCCGCATTTAGTTTGATGTAATTTGTAAAACTGTTTAGTATATCATACAGTGGGGCAAAAAAGTATTTAGTCAGCCACCAATTGTGCAAGTTCTCCTACTTAAAAAGATGAGAGAGGCCTGTAATTGGCATCATAGGTAGACCTCAACTATGAGAGACAAAAATCCAGACATTCACATTGGCTGATTTGGAAAGAATTTATTTGCAAATTATGGTGGAAAATAAGCATTTGGTCACCTACAAACAAGCAAGCAAGATTTCTGGCTCTCACAGACCTGTACCTTCTTCTTTAAGAGGCTCCTCTGTCCTGCACTCATTACCTGTATCAATGGCACCTGTTTGAACTTGTTATCAGTCTAAAAGACACCTGTCCACAACCTCAAACAGTCACACTCCAAACTCCACTATGGTGAAGACCGAAGAGCTGTCGAAGGACACCAGAAACAAAATTGTAGACCTGCACCTGGCTGGGAAGACTGAATCTGCAATTGGCAAGCAGCTTGGTGTGAACAAATCAACTGTGGGAGCAATAATTAGAAAATGGAAGACATACAAGACCACTGATAATCTCCCTCGATCTGGGGCTCCACGCAAGATCTCACCCCGTGGGGTCAAAATGATCACAAGAACGGTGAGCAAAAATCCCAGGACCACACGGGGGGACCTAGTAAATGACCTGCAGAGAGCTGGGACCAACGTAACAAAGGCTACCATCAGTAACACACTACGCTGCCAGGAACTCAGATCCCGCAGTGCCAGATGTGTCCCCCTGCTTAAGCCAGTACATGTCTGTGCCCGTCTGAAGTTTGCTAGAGAGCATTTGGATGATCCAGAAGAGGATTGGGAGAATGTCATATGGTCAGATGAAACCAAAAAGAACTGTTTAGTGGAAACACAACTCGTCGTGTTTGGAGGAGAGAGAATGCTGAGTTGCATCCAAAGAACACCATACCTACTGTGAAGCATGGGGGTGGCAACATCATGCTTTGGGGCTGTTTCTCTGCAAAGGGACCAGGACGACTGATCCATGTACAGGACAGAATGAATGGGGCCATGTATCGTGAGATTTTGAGTGCAAACCTCCTTCCATCAGCAAGGGCATTGAAGATGAAACGTGGCTGGGTCTTCCAACATGACAATGATCCCAAACATACCGCCCAGGGCAACGAAGGAGTGGCTTCGTAAGAAGCATTTCAAGGTCCTGGAGTGGCCTAGCCAGTTTCCAGATCTCAACCCCATAGAAAACCTTGGGAGGGAGTTGAAAGTCCGTGTTGCCCAGCGACAGCCCCAAAACATCACTGCTCTAGAGGAGATCTGCATGGAGGAATGGGCCAACATACCAGCAACAGTGTGTGCCAACCTTGTGAAGACTTACAGGAAACGTTTGACCTCTGTCATTGCCAACAAAGGATATATAACAAAGTATTGAGATGAACTTTTGATATTGACCAAATACTTATTTTCCACCGTAATTTGCAAATAAATTCTTTCCAAATCAGCCAATGTGATTGTCTGGATTTTTTTTCTCATTTTGTCTCTCATAGTTGAGGTCTACCTATGATGCCAATTACAGGCCTCTCTCATCTTTTTAAGTGGGAGAACTTGCACAATTGGTGGCTGACTAAATACTTTTTTGCCCCAC